ACCACCTCCGGGAGGAGGGGCAGCTCATCAGGAAGATGGGCCACGGCTGCCTCATGCGCGCAGGCGGCCCCGGGCTGGGCTGGGCGAATGCCCCCCGCCAGGCTCACCTGCCAGCACCACTAGGAGCCTGTGGGGCCCAGAGGCCTTTGAGGGCCCCTCTGCACGCCCTGGTGTCTGGCAAAGCCAGAACCTCTCCCCAAAACTACTAGCTATGCTTTTATTAAAAATTTTAAAATATATTTTTATTGATTTCAGAGAGGGAGAGGGAGAGAAACATCAGTGATGAGAATCATTGATTGGCTGCCTCCTGCACGCCGGACACTAGGGATCGAGCCCGTAACCCAGGAATGTGCCCTGATTAGAATTGAGCCCAGGACCCTTCAGTCCGCACCCTGACGTTCTACCCACTGAGCCAAACCTGTGTCTGGTTCCCATTCTTTCAACCACCTGGAACCCTCTCCCATGCATTAGACCAAATGGAAACAATAAAACTTTTTCCAGGAGGAAAAAAAAGGATGGCTAGCAGAGTCTGTTTCCAGCCCTGGCTAGTTTGGCTCAGTGGATAGAGCGTGGGCCTGTGTACTGAAGGGTCCCGGGTTCGATTCCGCTTAAGGGCAGATACCTCAGTTGCTGGATCCCTGGCACTGGTTGGGGTGCGTACAGGAGGCGACCAATAAATGTGTCTCTATCACATCGACATTTCTGTCTTTCCCTCTCCCTTCCGAAAAATATCCTCCAGTGAGGATTAACCAAAAAAATAAAGTGTGGTCCAGCCGGTGTGGCTCAGTGGTTTAGTGTCGACCTATGAACCAGGAGGTCACTGTGAGATTCACGGTCAGGGCACATGCTGGGGTTGTGGGCTTGATCCCCAGCAGGGACCATGCAGGACGCAGCACATCAACGATTCTCTCAACATTGATGTTTCTTTCTCTCCCCTTCTCCCTTCCTTTCTGAAGTCAATAAAAATGTTTTTTAAAAAAGAAGAAATGGGGAAAGAAGTTGGAAACGCGGACAGAGGCCATAGTATCAGGCCAAGATGTTAAGATCTTATCTTAAGGTCCCATAGGGATGAAATGTTTTTAGGAGGGAAGTACTATGCTCAGATTTTAGTTTTAGGAAGACTACTCTCGTCTCTTAGGGCCTTTTGGCTAAGATCAAGTATTGAAAGATTACCGTAAGATATGTTTTAAAAAAAAAATTAAGGGCCAAAACCGGTTTGGCTCAGTGGATAGAGCATCGGCCTGAGGACTGAAGGGTCCCGGGTTCGATTCCGGTCGGGGGCATGTGCCTGGGTTGCGGGCACATCCCCAGTGGGGGGTGTGCAGGAGGCAGCTGATCGATGTTTCTCTCTCATCGATGTTTCTGGCTCTCTGTCTCTCTCCCTTCCTCTCTGTAAAAAAATCAATAAAATATATTAAAAAAAAAAATTAAGGGAGATGATTGGATTTTCCTTGAAGACTTACTTGACTAAAACAGCTCAGGGAGGCCTGCAAGTCCCTAGTGAGGGTCAGGCTTGAGGCGGGGGAGTGAGAGATAAGATATGCATTTTAAAACTAAGGACCTTAAAAGCCCTTAGGAAGTATAAATGGAGAAGTAACTCAGGAGCCAGAGGAAACTTAGAGTCAACGTGAAAGTCAAGACCTCCACCACGTTCTCTATCTCCTTGACCTGCCATTTCTGCCACTTTGAGCTCCCCTCAGCTCAGGGGGAGCCGGGAGACACTCCGGAGAAAGGCTCTGCCTCCAGGATGGAGACGGACCTGGAAGAGCTGCAGGGCAGTGCCTCCGGCTGGACCATCCAGAGGGCCACGAGGGGCCTTGGTGAGGTCCTATTCGGTGAAGAGCTGGACCAGTCCCTGTGCGAGGACTGGACTGAGTCTCTTGGGGCAGCTGGACACCCAGCTCAGAATCGCAGGGTCTGACAGACCTACAAACAGTTTGAAGACCAGGAATGGATTAGCTCAGTGATGGCGAACCTTTTGAGCTCGGCGTGTCAGCATTTTGAAAAACCCTAACTTAACTCTGGTGCCGTGTCACCTATAGAAATTTTTTGATCTTTGCAACCATAGTAACACAAAGATTTATATTTTTGATATTTATTTTACATATTTAAATGCCATTTAACAAAGAAAAACCAACAAAAAAAATGAGTTTGCGTGTCACCTCTGACACGTGTGTCATAGGTTTGCCATCACTGGATTAGGTGATGATGCGGGGGAGACGAGGCAGCAGGAGCTGAAGGTTGTGGAGTGGGAGGAAGCGAGGCTGGTGCAGGAGCTGGAGGAGATAGAGAAGAACCGAGACAGGGCAGCTGTGGCCCTGGAGGCAGCCCAGGCAGAGATGGAGGCGCTGGAGGAGCAGGAAAGGCAGAGCCACGGGGACCTCGGTGAACTTCAGTGGCCGCAACAGGAACTGCAGGACGAGCTGTTGAGCTTGGAGGACCGGCTGCTGTACGCCCAGACCCAGCTGGCCCGGCTGAAGAGAACCAACGCCTTCAAGGCCGCGTTTGAGATCTGCTGTGACGGCCCCGTGGCCATCATCAATAACTTCCGCCTGGGCTGCACCCCCACTGTCCCGGTGATCTGGTGGGAGATCAGTGCAGCCTGGGGGCACACAGCCTTGCTGCTCATGGCCTTTCAGAGGTACCAGCTCATCCCCCACGGAGACCAGTCCTACCTGAAGTCATTGACAGAGGACCCCGTGGAGCTGCCCTTGTTTTGCACGGTGCGGGGGGGGAGGGGGGGGCCTCTCTCTTGGACAGCAAGTTTGACCAGGCCATGGACTGCATGCAGTTCAATGAGGCAGCCAAGAAGGGCGAGCCAGCTCTCTACATGCCCTTCGGGATCCTCGTGGAGCAGGGTCTGAGATGGGGTGAAGTCCACTCCATCAGAACCCACCTGAGCACGGAGAAGTGGTGGACAGAGGCACTGAAGCTCATGCTTATAAATTTTAAGGCAGTGGTTCTCAACCTTCCTGATGCCGCGACCCTTTAATAGAGTTCCTCATGTTGTGGTGACCCCCAACCATAAAATTATTTTCATTGCTACTTCATAACTGTAATTTTGCTACTGTTATGATGAATTGTAATGTAAATATCTGATATGCAGAATGTATTGTCACTGTTAAAAATTGAACATAATTAAAGCATAGTGATTAATCACAAAAACAATATGTAATTATATGTTGTGAAATATTTATTTCCAATTACAAATAAATGAAATTCTGCCTTGAAGCATGGTGTAGCATGGGTAACAGTCTTAATATAACAACAGTAAACTACATTGCTACATTTTGGGACAGTATGCGTAAAAAGCCAACGTCAGTGCGAAGGTTGAGATTGCTTCTTTCTCACCAGATCAGAAATTCTCGGGGCAGTCTTTGCAAGAGCACAGCGAAGATCATCTTCCACAACAAGTCTCTTTCTGTATTTAGACTTGACAACCAACAAGCTGGAAAACCCTGTTTCACAAAGATGTGTTGTTGGAAATGGAAGAAGAAGGCGCAACACAGTCTCAGACAGAACAGGATACGACTGCAAATACTTGATCCAGAATTTTGTAACTGGCATTGTAGAGAAATCAGTTCTTGCTGCATCATTGTTAGTAAGTTCAATGAACTCCTCTTGTGCTGTCTCAGGAACATCTTCAACTTTGACTGTGAATGGGCTTCTAACAAGTGCAAATGGGGTGTCAGGTAGATTTGGAAAGTACCATGAAATTTCGCTTGCAAGCATGTGCAAGTGTTCTTTCACAGAAATTATCATCGTAATCCTTTTGTGTGGTTCAATGTCATGTTCCTCAAAGAAAGCAGATAAGGTAGGCAACATGTAAATTTTATTTTCATCCAATTTTTTTTGCCAAAGCTGAAGTTTCATTTGGAATGATTGGATCTTTTCAGATAAATCCAGACATGTTGCATTTGGTCCTTGCAGTGATAAATTTAATTCATGCAAGATGGCAAAGATGTCAACCAAATAAGCTATTTTCTGCAGTTCACTTTTATCGCTGAAAAGTGCTTCGAACTGTGGTTTTGCTTTCTGATTAAAAAATGTTTTGAGTTCATCACGAAGCTCAAAAACACGTTTTAAAATTTTTCCTCTCGACAACCATCTCGCTTCAGTGTGAAATAGCAGAGCATTGTTTGGCGCATCCAACTCATTGCACAGATGTGAAAACAGTCGACTGTTTAAAGTGCTCGCCTTTATAAAATTGACACAACTTATGACGCTTTTCATTACTTCTTGTAACTCTTGTGGCAGCGTCTTCCTTGCTAATATTTGCCCATGAATCATACAGTGAGTTCCGATGACTTTTGGTGACTCATTCAGTACCAAGCGTTGAAATCCAGATAGGCATCCTAGCGTAGCTGGAGCACCATCTGTGCAAACACCACAAACCTTTTCCCAAGAGATCTTATGCTCTTTCAGGAAAGAACCAACTGTGTCAAATACATCAAGGGCAGTAGCTGTCGTTTTAAGAGGTTTACAAAAAAGAAACTCATCCTTAAAGTCGCCATCATTAATATACCTCACGTAAACCAGTAACTGTGAACAGTTTGCAACGTCTGTAGATTCATCAAGCTGGATACTAAATATTGGAAGCGGAGCAGATTTAATTTCCTGGATTACCTGATTAAGAATATCAGCAGACATGTCATGTATTCTTCTGCGGATAGTGTCGTTAGATAAGGAAATTGCACTCAATTTCGTAACAAATTCGTCTCCGATCATAACTCGAACAATGTCTTTGGCCTCTGGCAACAGTAAATCCTTAGCAATGGTGTGAGGTTTCATAGCTCTGGCGATTCTGATTGCCACCAAATATGAAGCTTCAACGGCTGCTACGTTTTCTTTTTGGTACTTTCCACCAGTGTCAAGTCTGGCTTTCTTGAGTCCATCAGCTTTGCTTCTGAAATAGCTGGTATCCTTGCCGGCAAAGCTTGGATGCTTGCTATCAAAATGGCGTTTTAGTTTGTTCGGCTTCATAGATTCGGATGATAGAACGTCACAACAAATAACACATTGAGGTTTCTCAATTCCTTCTGTAATTATTGATGTGAAACCATACTGTAAAAAATCCTCACTATATTTTCTTTTCTTAACGTTCTTCTCTACACGGTCCATTGTCATGGGATGGTTTGCTAATGAAAATAATATATAACAATAGCTTTAATAATACAAAAGATGATACATGGCATAGTTCAATCAATACAGTTCATTTAAAGTTTCCTATGATTTACCATTCTGTGGTGCTGTTTTTTACATACCTGTTACTATCACAAGGGGGCAGTATTCACATCAACCACAGCTGAATAGAAAAAGACCGATCAGCATCCAGATTAAGTTCCCATGGTACAGATGTGTTTTTTTTGCAGTAGTTGATGATTTTACATTATATGATTTTACATTTACCCAGTAATTATAATTCACGAAGTGTCATTTTACCTCCAATACTGCTGCTTTCAACACAGTAGCTGCTTTCAACACAGCAACTGCTTTCTACAGAGTAGCTGCTCTCTACACACGTGTAACTAGTCCACATAAAGTACATTATGGTGCCAACCCTGTCACATATACCTGTATTTGCACAGGGTTTATGTGATGGGGTTGGCGCGATGATGTCATCATGCCGGGTACTCATGTATCTGCATGTGGGCAGACCTGCCTGGAGACGGATAGAGGAGCAGTGTCTTGGTTCCTAAGACCATTGAAAATATGTGTTTTCTGATGGTCTCAGGCGATCCCTCTGAAAGGGTCGCGACCCACAGGTTGAGAATCGCTGTTTTAGTGTGTCCTTCAGGATATCATTCTTAAATTCTAACCAAAACAAGACTTTTTATGATTCTTCCATGTGCACATATTAAATTGGTTTTTCTCCCGTTAAAAAGAAAAAGAAAAAAGGGTCCTTTTAATAACTGAAAATGCTAGGTATTGATTAACTTAAGTTATATTAACAAGTCGATTACTAAATTACTGATTTAAATGACTTTGGCCAGTCATGTCACCTCAGATTTTCCTCAACTGACATATAAGACACATATTACCATGTGTCCTACCAGGTAATACAATATGAGCACATATGAAACAATCTCGACAACAGAGGTAATCTTGGAGACTGTCTAGTTCAGTGATGGCGAACCTATGACACGCGTGTCAGAGGTGACACACGAACTTATTTTTTTGGTTGATTTTTCTTTGTTACATGGCATTTAAATATATAAAATAAATATCAAAAATACAAATCCTTGTGTTACTATGGTTGCAGATATCAAAAAATTTCTATATGTGACACGGCACCAGAGTTAAGTTAGGGTTTTTCAAAATGCTGACACGCCGAGCTCAAAAGGTTCGCCATCACTGGTCTAGTTCAATTCCCTCATTTTATTTCCCTCATTTATAGTTAAAAAAAGTAAGGTCCTGGTCATATAAATGATTGACAGAGTGGACCTTAGAACCCAAACAGTTTTAACTGCTAGGTAAGAGGAAAAAACAATTTGGGGTACTACTTCACAGAAAAGATATTTGAAATTTTGTCAACTTACCCACAATAGGGCCAGGATTCACCCCATATTTCACAAGCTGATTCAGAAGAGCTTCATTAGTGAGTTCAGTTACATCTAAATCATCTTTATCTTCTAGTCTGGGTTTATCAGTTTTCTTTGTGGCTTTCTGTAAACAAAGTCCAGTTATCATTTAAAATATGAATTTTAAAATGTTCATTTTCTATATAAATAGCATTATATACAACAAACATGGAAATTTACCTTCAAGTTGATTTATAGTTATATCAAGCCTCATCTATTTGAGTAAATTAAAAGTAACTCATTGTTTGGAGATATTTTCTAAGTTTGGTTATAATTACACAAACCTAGAAGCCAATCAAGTAACTCAATTTTACAGACATTATTATTATTTTGTTTTGATTGATTTCAGAGAGGAAGGAAAAAGGGGAGAGAGAAACATCAATGATGAGAGAGAATCATTGATCGGCTGCCTCCTCCACGCCCCCTACTGGGGATCGAGCCCACAACCCAGGCATGTGCCCTTGACTGGAATCAAACCTGGGACCCTTCAGTCCTCAGGCCAATGCTCTATCCACTGAGACAAACCAGCTAGGGCCAGACTACTGTCTTCTTACCGAAATGGTCATAATAGATCTGGGATCTTGGAATATATCCCTTTAGCCCTTGGATAAGGGTGGACTGCTGTATGCTTAATGAAACAGTCATATAGAACTAAGTATGGCAAAAAAGCTTTGTCAGAAGTGATGTCTAACTTCCTTAATGGGTCAGAAACTGGCTATTACAGTCACTGTACTATGAGAAGAATATTCACTTGGGCTTTGTAAATTCAGGTGTGCTTGTTTAAAGGAAATCATCTTCATACATTTTTATGGTACAGTCTTAAACTCCTAGATCAGTGGTTCTCAACCTTCCTAATGCCGGGACCCTTTAATACATACAGCTCCTCATGTTGTGGTGACCCCCAACCATAAAATTATTTTCGTTGCTACTTCATAACTGTAATGTTGCTACTGTTATGAATTGTCATGTAAATATCTGATATGCAGGATGTATTTTCGAACGACCCCTGTGAAAGGGTCGTTCGACCCCCAAAGGGGTCGCGACCCACAGGTTGAGAACCGCTGTCCTAGATGAACTTAAACATTTAAATACTATAAAAGAGGCCAGTAGTGAATTGTATTTACAGTTATCTGGATGAAAATATTTAAATTCGGTCCATTTACTGGTTTGGATTTTTCATGCCATCATCTGCTCTTTAGACAGGTTAGCCCACAGTGACTGTTTTAACAATAATGTCTGGCCCCAGCTGGTTTGGCCCAGTGGATAGAGCGTTGGACTGTGAACTAAAGGTTTGATTCTGGTCAAGGGCACATGCCCGGGTTGTGGGCTCAATCCCCAGTAGGGGGTGTGCAGGAGGCAGCCGATCAATGATTCTCATCATTGATGTTTCTATCTCTCTCTCCCTCTCCCATCCTCTCTAAAATCAATAAAAATATATTAAAAAAAAAATAAAAAAGCATACAGTAGTCTGGCCCTGGCTAGTGTGGCCCAGTTGGTTGGGTGTCGCCCCATGCACTGAAAAGCTGCCAGTTTGATTCCTGGTCAGGGTAAATGCCCAGGATACAGGCTCAGTGCCCAGTAGGGTGTGTGCAGGAGGTAGCTGAATGACACTCTCATGTCGATGTTTCCCTCCCTCTCCCTTAAAAAAAAGAAAAAAAGTCTGCCCTTATCCAGTGGGTGCCTGACACTGCACATAGCACTGAACTCTATATATGCCATATCCCCCCCCCCCCCCAAAAGCCCAGTGACCAGAATGACTGGTCACTATGATGCACACTGCGGTGAACAGCCGGCCCTGATCGCGCCCCCCAACCTCTTGCGGCCCCTCCCCTCGGCCAGCTCAGCCCCGATTAACCCCTCAACCCCAACCAGGAGTGGGGCCGGCCGGCCAACAGCTTGCGGCCCCTCCCCCTGGTCCCCATCGGGACGGGCTGGCCAGACCCCACCCATGCACAAATTTGTGCACCAGGCTCTAGTCCTATATAATAAAAGGGTAATATGCAAATTGACCGAACGGCAGAACAACTGGTCGCTATGACATGCACTGACCACCAGGGGGCAGACACTCAATGCAGGAGCCACCAAGCTCCAGTGACTTGGCAGCGGCAGTTCTCAGGTGACGCACCCCGGTACCAGAGAGGAGGGAGCCCGATTCCTGGGTGCATCACCCGAGTACCGCCCTCTCGCAAATCGGGACCCCCTCAGGGGATGTTGGAGAGCTGGTTTTGGGCCGATCCCCACAGGACAGGCTGAGGGACCCACCTGCCAGAGGGACCCACTCACTCTGCAGACGCCCTTCAAGCTGAGGTGCAGCCAGCAGGGGAGGGACCGCAGGAGGTTGGCTCCAAAGCCTGTCCAGCCCTTCTCACCCAGTCCCGCCGCCACCTTCTAATTAATTTCCTTTCAATGTGCCCGAATCCGTACACCGTGCAGTAGTACATATATACCTATGAAAAAGTTTAATTTGTAAATTAGGCACAGTAAGAGATTAGCAATAACTAAGAATAATATAAAACAATTATAACTACAGCATAATCAAAGTATACGAATGTGGCCTCTTAAAATATCTTGGTGTATTATTATATGTACAGTGTGGGTACATTGGACAAAGGGATGATTCATGTCCTGGGTGGGACAGAGCTAGGCAGTGCAAGATTTCAGTCAGCATGCTACTCAAAACTGTGCAAAATGTAAAACATGTGTGAACTAAGTTTATTTCTGTAATTTTCATTTAATATTTTAGACTGGCTAATCAAGGGTAACCAAGGGTAACTGAAACCATGGATAAGGGGGACACTACTATAGTTGAAAGAACGTGGAACAGATTTGAGAGAAATTACAAAGGAATTTTTAAGAAAAATTTAAGCAATGGCAGTATCTACTGGAAAAACTATGTAAACTTCCAATGGCTATTTAAATAATGGCCACAAATATCAAAGTCAACGTAGGCCCTGATATTTAAGCAGAACAGTTAACACATGAAAAATTTTATGCAAAAGGGCAAAAATCATAAAGGTGTATAAACTGCTTACTTTCCAATGATGGGGGGGTAGGGGTGGGAAGGATCACATTATTTGGCCATGGATTAGAATTTCTGCTTTTTTTAACCAAATAAAAACTTGAATACTTTAATCAAATAAAAATTTGAACACAAGATTATGAGACATTATTTAAAGAGAGCTGCTAATAAGAGCAATGACATCAATTTAAGGTAAATCTTTAATAAAAATCTGGCTGTGATAAGTTAGTGAGGGTACTTTCAGAAAGCTTTAATATACAGGGGTGGGCAAAAGTAGGTTTGTAGTTGTGAGTATGCAAGTTTATTCTTGTATTATTTATTACTTATTGAATTATTTGTATTATAATTTTAAACCTACAGTTACCCACCCCTTTACATACTGCACTTATCTAGGATCATT